AGTTGTCTGCACGCAATTTAATCTAACTGTTTGGCGCACTGGCGACGAATAAGAGCGCAAGTTGTGGCAATTGAACAATTCAAAATAGTAAATATGTGCAACCATGCAATTAAATCAATATAAAAGCATAAAGCTCGACTTGAAATATAACATATCTCCACCAATTTGCACACTAGTCCTTCGCTTCTGCTATGTGACAACAACTAAAGCTAAAAGGCAAATGAATTAGCTGCAGCAATAATGAATACTAACAGACTCCTCTAAATTCCTCCAAAAAATACCTTTCGTTTTGGAGGAGGTCGGAGAAAGTAAGCAGCGAGCTTTGAGGAGCTTGGAGTAGGTTGGAGGAGCCACGGAAACGATCACATTAGTTTGGTTTGAGGAGCTTTGAGGACGTTAGAGGGGCGGCGAGAACAAGACCCATGGTTTTTCAGATCTTTATTTTAATTACAAGAGCTGACTGGCACAAAATTATGCATCCTCGAGCATAAAACAATCAATGACGTTGTTTTGCAAAATGAGTTGGGTAGTGGAAGAGTAAACGATCGAAGCCGTGTTGTGTTCTTTCGTTTTTTGTATAACTTGTGGATGTTGAAGAATTTTTGTGCCGAGGATTCTCTAAGCATTTGTTGGGTGTCCTGATTCAAGCGATTCTTTGTTGTTGCTGGTCATTAACACGCGCACGGGGGGGGGGGGGGGGGGGTAATTCGCCCTCCCCCGAAGGTGTTTCCAGAACAATTTTTGTACGGCACCGTGTAACCGCTCCAAACTTTGCATAACTATGCGGAATTGAATAGTTTGACGTAGATCAAGTTAGATATACCTTGTAAGGTCTCTGACGTATGGCTGACAAAGGTCAGGTCATGACTGTCAGCGAAGGACATTTCTAGTGAATCGTTCAACGTGATGCAAGACCGGAGTATAAGACTAAGCCATACATATCTGGGGTAGTTTCTTAGGCAATACGCTAATTAAATTTAGAATTACGACCGATTGTACTGACCTAAGGCCAGGTATAAAAAGCTGATTTCATCCTCTTATGTGCTTATTCGTTATTTTTTAAAGAAAATCCCGTTTACTTGAAACAGCTTTTCCTACGTTATTTGCGCTTGTTATACCTAGGTTTCAAAGAATTGTATTGGTGGAGGTGGCTGAATGGTTTGAATTAGGTAGAGCAGTGCGTATTACCATGTTTTTAGCCGTTTATCTGTGTAATAGTTTGATTAGTCGTGTTTCTGGACTTTTCTCAAGATCTTTTCGATGCATCGCGGAGCTGAAATATATTTCATGAGTTATTCGTTTCTTGGTTGTAGTCAAAGTAATTCAGCTCCTTTTGTCAGGCATTAATTCTATGATATAATTCAACACTATGTGACAAATAAATGTCACGTTAAAACATGGCGTAGCCACAGCGACACCCTTCTCAACATACTGAAGACTCCACCGACACCTTCAAGCAGCTTATTTTGGATTACATTCTAATTAGAGAATGTTTTAAACATTTTTGGCCATCATTTGATGAAGGAAAACGAATAGACTGACAGAGATTAACTAGATGCGAAAATTTCTTCTTGACTGCACATTTCTGCATCCAGCACTGACACCTAAAAATACCTCGGGTAACGTGTTAACTGTAGGAGCATTTGCTCCACTACAGACAACTACCCTCCTCCTCGTCCCAGTAAAATGCCTTCCCCTAATTGTATGTCAAGAAGCTCGTGCCACTTTACCGAAATCCAGCCCCTGCAACTTCTCCTCTCCTTGAATACGTCACGTAAGAGACACCATTATCAGGTGGCAGAGAAAGCTTGTCCAAAAGCTGGATTATCTCGCACGTATCACCTAGGTGACGCGCGCGGTGCGGACTTGTTTGCGGTGTCAGAGAACAGTTTTATTCGTGTGCATATATCTAAAAGTTTGCGTAGTGCGTCTGGCCGGTCTTGCTTGGCCTTGCCCGACTTTTGATTTATTCCACTCTACACTTACCACGAGACCTCAGCGCCAGAAGGACCGGTCTTGCCAACATTTTCAGGACAAATTAACGTAAAGCGTGTAACCGAATACTTTTTTGAAAAAATTACCTCCAGTTCCTTTGAGGCTCCATTTAAAAACCGCTACTGACTAAAGGGCAAAATGCATGTTGGCAACATGCCTTGTTCACAACGTGAAAATCGTCGGAATGAAAATAAATTGACGTCATAATATGTCGGAAACCAAATAGGTGAAACGGAACTCCCCGTCCAGAGCCAACAAAGACAGGCGTAAAGTAGTTATGTCTACCACTCTTCCTTCCTTTTCTCTTTTCGCTCTACCCCCTGATGATGGCATATGCCAAAAATTCTTGCCCTTACAGCTAGACTTTTCCTTAGACTGACTCATCTGTGGGCCTGCAAATCTTTACTAGCGAACAGGCCATTCATATAGGACTTAACGGTCATGTATCTACTCGCATGCGAGTATTGTTAATGAATGTCATGCCCACCAGTCATGAGGTTCACGACCAAACGCTCTGAATAGGTGCTGTGACGACGGCTATTTGAGGCGGGTTTCTGGCGACAGGCTTCCTTCTGCAACGCAGCACGCTTCCTGGGGGAAAATTATAACGGGATCCTCTCCCATATCCAGGAATATTACTGCAGCATCAGAAGGGGATAGGCGGCCAGCACCGCTGTGTTGATGGGCTGGTGTGCTCGCTGGGCTGGGACTGATCACCGCTGTGTTGATGGACCGATGGGCCCTCTGGGCTGGGACTGATCACCGCTGTTTTGATGGGCCGATGGGCCCTCTGGGCTGGGACTGATCACCGCTGTATTGATGGTGCGTTTGTCCTGCTGGGGTGGGACTTATCACCACTGTGAAGCACGCGACAGGGGACCGCTTCGGACCGGCCGATCCCGCAGCGCCCCGCGAACTCTTCCCTCGTCACGCGGCCTTCGCGGCCCACCCATCGTGGGTATCCCGGCCGCCTTCAGAGCCGCCTGGGCGGCTCGAAAGGGTGTCTGGACAAATCGTCCAACTCACAAGAAGCCGTCACCGGCAACGGTCGCGCGGTTGCCACAAGAAGCCGTCACCGGCAACGGTCGCGCGGTTGCCACAGTTTTTGCGGTGGTGCGCGGGTGTCGCCGATGGCCCCACCCTTGTTCTGCTCGTGCAGTCGGGAGCGCAGGCGCCTCTGCGTGCCCGGAGGTCGCCACGCAGGCGGCTCGGCAAGCGAGGTGCCCGGGTGCCGTCCCGGCCGCGCCAGGAAAGTGCCACCAGTCTCAGCTGCGCCGCGGACGATGGAGACCGCGCGTCTTTTGACAGAGTGTCTATAGGCAGAACGGCTGTTATCGATACTGTGGCCGTCATCCTATGGCCAGGCCCGCCGGCTTTGCTCAAGGTCTGTCTCGCGGGCGAGTGGTCCGGGGCCTGGCGGACGGCGCCGGTATCAGTAGTGTTGATCATTGTCGTTGACGGCGCTGCCTGCGCCGTGCCGGCGATTGGTCGCGGCGTGAAATGATTTATGGTTGGGGCTCACAAGCTGTCGGTGGTACACACCCATCCCACGCATCTGCATCCGTATGCGAGAAGATGGTAAGAAACGATGTTTTCCGTCTCAGTGGGTGGGAAAAGGTGCTGTTGAGCAGTGGCGTAGAAGTTAGTAGCCAAATGGCGTATATCGTAGGTAGCCAACAGGTGTAGTAGTCAAAGGGTGGTGCTCCTGGCAGCCAATAGGTGTTGACTCTGAGGCCAAAGTATTGCAAAGGTCGAATCTTACGACTCTGAAAGATCGCTGAGGGCGCAACAGAAACAGAACGGCGGAAACAACAGGACGGGGAAAACCACTTTGGTTTCCAGTGCTTCGACTTCGTTTTGAAATATTTTGTTCTTTTGTCCTGCCGAATGCGCAGTTTCCTATTCAGTCCAGAGGGCTCCAGCTCGCTGAACTTGAGCTTCAGAGCCCCAACTTTGGTGAGAAAGTGGGCAATGCTCGGGGAGAAACCGGTTAGTCGGCGTATTTTGGGGGCAGGCTGGATATTTTGTCTTCGTTCAGCACCTCCTTACCCCAACTCATGTTGCCCAGTTACACCCCTGCATCCCGCTTCTATTCAGAACAGTCCCGCTTTGTCTCAGACATTCCGCCAGTTCCTGAATAATGATGCGTTATTCAAGCAGCTGGTGTCGTTCAGGTGGACTTCTACTTTTTGTAGCTGCATTTGTGCTCAGTTACGCTCGTTGCAAAGGCTTCTCTTTCGTTCGGGAAATAACACTGCGGTCGATAAACCCAAGGCGACGGCGACTGCCACCCGGGTGTGACTTCGGGTGTCTTGTTTGACTATGGGTATAGACACCCAGCTCGAGGAAACAACTTACTATAACAGAGACATGAACCCATCCGTACGTAATAATCGCACGATCACACGAATGTAAAAGGCGCGTGTCTGCTCCGTGCCTAATCTGATCGGGACCACATGTGCACGCCTCCGGCTGGGTTCAGGGAGAATATCACTGGCACGCCATCTGTTGGTGACACAGGTGTGCCCGCTTCCGGCTGAGTTCAGGGAGAGTATCACTGGCACGCCATCTGTTGGCGACACAGGTGTGCCCGCTTCCGGCTGAGTTCGGGGAGAGTTCACTGGCGCGCCATCTGTTGATGACGCAGGTGTGCCCGTTTCCGGCTGAGTTCAGGGAGAGTATCCCTGGCGCGCCATCTGCCGGTGGCACAGGCGTGCCCGCTTCCGGCTGAGTTCAGGGAGAGTATCATTGGCGCGTCATCTGTTGGTGACACAGGTGTGCCCGCTTCCGGCTGAGTTCAGGGAGAGTATACCTGGCGCGCCATCTGTTGGTGTCACAGGTGTGTCCGCATTCGGCCGCGTTTCCAGGAAGCCCCGCCTTTTCTTCCTTCCGTCCAACGCTGACCGGTCGGCTGACAGCTGAGAGCTGTCATGTCATAGGCATGCTGGACGCTGGTTTATGCCCTGTGGCTGTGTCCGAGCTCAGTCCGGTAACATCATTCAAAGTCACGTTTTAACACATCTATTATAATATATACCTTCATACAGAGACCGCTCCGACGTTAAATCTATATCACATTATATAAATACGCAAACAGTAAACGAAAACATCGGCCACTTTTCCACGATAGGGTGAGATATAGATAGCCACTCAGAAAATGTAACGAGAGGGAATGAAAGGCAGCTCATCCTGACAGCGCGTGAACAAACAATAGCATTTCCAAACCGACATGCAGAAACGTGACCACTACCCTTCACCAACATAACACTTTCCTTTTAAGCAGCTTTACTCGGGTAAATAAATACATACGCTTCTGCACACATCAATTAACACATACACGCACGGCTATGCATGAGCTTGGGGAGGGACCGACACGACAACAAAGCCAGAAGTCGACAGTTGATGTACAAAGGGGACCTGGTCCCCACGAAACCCCATCGAGAGTTGGCCCCAGCCAGAGAGGCTCCCACCTTGAACAGAACTGACCTCCGACACGAATGCCACGTGCACGGTCCTGCCCAGCCAGCGCGACGCCGGCGGGCGGCGGGCGCCAGCCGCGAGACCGCATTCCCACGAACCGGAGGTCCCCTTGTCCCCGCCCCCTCTACCCGACTACCCCCTACCGCAGACCAGAGGCAAGACAATCGACGAGAATGTTGGATTCGACGAGGCGTACATCGACAGCTAGAGAAGACACGGGCAGTGTCAGTTCAGAGCACATGCACGACGAGCGGTGGAGCCAGCTGACCTGCCACTGGGCCGGGAGCGGCTCATGGAACGGACAGCCACAGGAGTGAGCCAAGACGAAAAGGCTTAGGCCACGGACGACGACGGTCAGGAGCAGGTGCGATCACAGTAGCGAGGGCGGCGATACACCAAACTACGGCCCCAGGCCCAAGTCAGTGCACAGCTGTAAAGATTGTAGGCAAATATACACACCACAAGGTAGCCCCTCCCGAGACGAGTACGCTACGTAGTCATTGACGCACCAAAGGCCTAACCTGACCAGGTCGGAAAACGAGCGGAATTAGTAAAAGCGAGACTAGTTTTGGACACATATGCATTGCGAGAGAACCTGGATACTCGCAAGTCTTCCGGAAGGTGTCTGACAAACATCACGACGCACAACCAAGACATGGCAAATAATTGAAAATGAAAAGGGAAAATTACACCTCAAAGGGCATCGTCATAGTGCCACAGTACAACAACCCCAGGCCCACCAACCAACACCAACCCGGTATACCTGCGCTAACATGACCCCCGCCTCTAGACTCCGAGACAGCGCGCGAGCAAACAACAGCACTCCCCAAACAAGCATGCACAGACACAACCGCTTCTCTTCATTCAGTCAGGCAAGCCAGACAGTGACAGACGCATGGGGATGCTATCTCATTTCATATCCGCTCGGACAACTGATGCCACACCACACACTGCAAGGGAATGCAATCTTAGAAAGGAACCGGATCGTTCCACACTAGCAGTGCGTCCCGTAAACATAGAGACCCGAGTATTTCCTTCACTCAATCACGTAACAATGCGGCACCACAAGCACACGACACCGGTGAGCGGAGCAGCGCCTGCAGCCTTCTGTCCAGCCAGTTCACCGCAAAGAAGGGCCAAAACAGCCCTCCTCTTCACCGCCCGGGCCTCGTTCAGGACGCCCACAAGAGTTTCTCGCCTCCTCCGTCTCGCCCCCTTCGGGCATAGAAGGTTACGTAGAAGATCACGTGCCTTCGTGACGCTCCTGAGTCGGACACGCAGGAATGCGTCCGCTGGAGGCAGTGCAGTCCTGAGTGTCGGACTGGTACCGATGACACGCACACAAACTCGTCCAGACGGCCAGCGCCTGCCAGGTCCACAGCCGCGGCCACCGAACGCCGCCGGAGCCGGCCGCGATCCGCCTCGCTAGACCAACGGAAGCGCTTCGGCGCTCCCGCCTGCCCCACACAGTCACGCGCGGTGGGGCCGCCCCCCCCCCCCCCACGCACGACCTCTCTCCCGACCATCTCGGCGCTTCAGTTGCTCGCCGCGCGGCCAGTGGCGTCTGCGGCCGGGGGACGCCGCGGGGCGCTGTGGCGCCGGGCGTCCGCAGCCGGCCTGCTGTCGCGCACGCGCCCCGCCGCCGCCTAGCTGCCCTTGGCCGTCGGCGTGAAGTGCAGCTCGCTGGAGCTGACCTCGTGCGGCATGCGGGAGTAGTAGGTCACGTGCTGGCTCATGAGGTTCGTGTCTTCCGTCGGGTCGGCGCCGCTCACGCAGCAGGAGAACACGCCGAATATACCTGGGAACGTGCCGCCGCCGGTCAGACGGGCTTACGCTGATGGCGCCAGCTGTTGGCCAGAGCGCAGCCCAGACACGCATGTGCGCCTGGGCCAGTGGCCTTGTAAACGTAACGCATTTCAAACGCCGATATGTTTAGGTTCCCTGTTGTGGATCGCACCTTGTTTTGCATCGGTACCGGCGAGCAAGCACTTCATCACTTCACAGGAATCACTTAAGTACCTTACTTAACTAAATCGGAACAACTGAAAGTCGTATCAGCCTTAGTTGTTACGTATCAGCCTGATGCACTTCTTCGTAGAAAGCGTGCCAACAAAGTACGCAAAGCCAGGCCATGCCTCAGATAAGACTCGAACACCCATTATCATTATCACTGCCACTAAACTAACCACTTAACCTTAATGCGAACGCTTGAGGAAGGGCTCAGCCCTGGTTTGCGAGCCGTCTGTCGACACTCACCGGTCTGTTTCTTGATGGAGGCGCCAATCAGGAACAGCGCGAAGACGACGATAATCGAGATAAGCACGACCAGCAGAATGTTGATCAGGAACATCGCAGGGCCGATGCCGTCGAACTCCTGCAACACGCGCCAAACAACAGTCGCTCGCTGGCCCATGAACATCACGTCACTTTACGGGATGAACTAACGTGATAAAGCAGATAGTGGTGCACAGGAAACCGAACATTATAGCACGACTAACACCAAGACATCTTCAGATGGCGACATCCGTACAAGATGAAGAGGTGGGCAATATGGAATGCTTGAAAATTGGCGCAGCAGAATGAGCGATGACGCATTGCTTGCACTTCGGCTACATCTGGGGGCTGTTCTTCATTGGCAAATGGAGCGTCACTACCTTTGCAGCAAGGAAATGAATTATAATAGGCCGACTCATGTAAGTCTATTCGACGCATGACCTAACTACCTGGCGTCACCATGACGTCACGATCAAGTGCATTCTCAACTTGGCCAAGAGGCGCAAAGCGTCTCTTTACAACTAAGCCGTCGCTGTTTACATAGCCACGCCCAGCAACGATCGACGCCCTGTAGACGTTGTTGTACGTCAAGCAGATGGCCAGGTCTCGACCGCGCGTGGATTTTGTGATCAACTATGAAATCTTAAGCCACAGAACTTGCCAACAACTGCTCGATCGGATCATATTCGAGTGCTCCATTCCTGCGCGCTATCTGCTCCATGGGGTTGATTAAGCTGATTCTGCGTTTTGCTCGCATCTGTAAATGAGGGGGGGGGGGGGGCGTTCTTTTTCGATGGTATTTGTGGCGTCTCAAGTTATAACCTCAATGGGCGGAAATTGGGCACGTAGTCTATGAAGAACTGGGCCCAGGACGCTAACCGCCACCGGCAGTGAGCCTCGCCAGGGCAAGCACTGACACCTGCCGAGGCACGGACCCGCGCCGCTGACTCCCGCAGGGGCGCTGGACCCTGCCCGGCCACCTGAGGCGCTGGACCCCGCTCAGACGCCTGAGATGCTGGACCCTGCCCGGGCACCTGAGGTGCTGAACCCTGCCCGGCCACCTGAGGCGCTGGACCCTGCCCGGGCGCATGAGGCGCTGGACCCTGCCCAGGCGCCTGAGATGCTGGACCCTGCCCGGACGCATCAGGCGCTGGACCCTGCCCGGCCACCTGAGGCGCTGGACTCTGCCCAGGCGCCTGAGATGCTGGACCCTGCCCAGGCGCATGAGGCGCTGGACCCTGCCCGGTCACCTGAGGCGCTGGACCCTGCCCGGCCACCTGAGGCGCTGGACCCTGCCCGGCCACCTGAGGTGCTGGACCCTGCCCGGCCACCTGAGGTGCTGGACCCTGCCTGGTCACCTAAGGCGCTGGACCCTCTCGCTGGCATTCAACTCACGTGGCCGACAATGACGGGCTGCACCATTTCGCCGGCGGCGGCGCCCACCACGATCAGGCTGGTGATGACCGCTGGGGGCAGACGCCTCGGTCACACACCTGGGGCAACCGCTGCGGCGGTGGCATCGAACGCTGCTGTGTGCTTTCAAATATGGAGGGCAGCGAACAAATCTGTGACCTGAACGGGTGCACAGCTGTTCGTAACAGTTGGCGAGTGATCTGGGTTGGCGTTCAGTATCTCCAAAATCTCGATAAGTTAATAATCTGCCGTCACATTTTGCCGAGTGATGATCACAGCCGGGTCATTTCGCAAATGGCGCTAATTCACGTAAGAATTAGTGTCATGTCAATAAACGCTGTAAGAAGTCTAGCGACAGTATCGTAAAGAAAAGTCCAGAGAATTGATGCGCATCAGCCCTAGCACAGCAGGACTTTAACCCGATTTAGGAATCCGCTCGAGAATATTTTGTTAGTCTAATGCGTCCGCGAACTTAATACGCTAAAGCTTTAGCAGCAACCATGCATGAGAAGAAGAGCCCAAACCAAGCAGTCACGTACAGCTGACGTTGATGTATGTTTCGGCCAGCGAGATGGCCGTGGGGTAGATGCTGCTGAGCGAGAGGCCGAACAGGCTGGTGCCGACGTAGATCATCAGCTTGTCGTTCTGCCAGATGAGCATCAGCACGGCTGCCAGGCCGCAGCCCACCTGGGGGCGCCGGGCGGCGGTGAGCAGGTGAGGCCACGGCTGGTCGGACCACGGAGGCCGCCTCCAGCGCATGACCAGCGTCCACATCATCGAAGTAGGGCTGGCGCGCAGGTGAAGAGGGCGCTGGTCATCAGGAGCAGGGCATCAGCAGGCCGACATGCAGTAAGGTTATCGCAGGAGCCATCGTCAGAAGGTCATATCATGTGGACTATAATCACCGGGCCGGAACACGATAGAAGTCAGATCACCAGCGAGTGAGCACGTCAAAACATCGCAATGGTGTGAAATGGACCACACGGTCATCCGACAGTCCAGACACCCTTCTGCCCGCGCATATCACTTCTGTCCAGACAGAAAATCCACGTCACCAGAACAGTACGCTAACCAAACAGCAGCAACCGCTCAACATGCGGGCCTCCTGGACAGCGCGGCCAAGCTTCCCTGACAGCACTGGCTCGTGTGTCTGACACAATGCGGGCCTCCTGGACAGCGCGGCCAAGCTTCCATGACAGCACTGGCTCGTGTGTCCGGCACAATGCGGGCCTCCTGGACAGCGCGGCCAAGCTTCCATGACAGCACTGGCTCGTGTGTCCTGACACAATGCGGGCCTCCTGGACAGCGCGGCCAAGCTTCCATGACAGCACTGGCTCGTGTGTCCGGCACAATCAGGACTTGACCGCCGGGCAAACAGCGGGCGGGCATTGGCAAACAACAGCGAGATCACTGCGACAACAGGCGTCAGATGACAACGGCGACGCGGGAGAGCACACTCGGCCTACCACCCTCAGACGGCATGGAAGGGCGCCGGCAAACCGCCCAGAGTGACGCGGAGGCTGATCATTCGGCGTGGATCGGTACTCACGATGTTGAAGAGAATCATGAAGGCCGGAGCGAGCTTGGTGGCTATGCCGATGGACAAGAGTCGACCGATCGCGAACGTGCCCCAGAAGCAGGAGGTGAGATAGGCAGCCTGCGTGATGCTGAGGCCTTCCACCGTCTTGGTGGCGTAGTTGTAGATGTAGCCGCCGTACGCTCCCTGTCGGAGAGGGCAACACCCGCGCGGTCGACACGTGGCACGTGGTGGCCAATCTAGCACACGTGTCGGATCGTTCGGCGTGCGCGGCAGGTACCCGTGGCGCCGGCCGGCTGCACTGGCGGAGGACTCCGCGCCACCCTGACGGTCAAGTTCAGCTTGGCCCACCGCTGGAGCATCCCACATCTCTGGGGAGAGAACTGAAGGACTGGGTGCGGCCTGCCGTCCGACACAGCGGACGCCGACTGCCTGAGCTGTATGCTTACCTGTAGCTCAGAGTGAATACATGGCCTTGGAGCTGAATGACGCCGTGCTCGTGTGTGCAGAGGGCTGCGCGGTCTGTGTCAGGGCTTCTCGGACTCCGTGCTCACCATCGTAGTAACTAGCACTGAGATGAGTGAGGTCCAAAACAAACTATCGCTTCAGAAAGATGGATATGTTTGTTTCGTGTTTAAATAAAACGCCATCAACACGTGCTAGAAAGCAGTAAAACTGGTTCCAAGCCGCAGCAACTTTTAACGTATGATAAGCTGTTAGCACTCATCTACCGACCATGTTGTATGGATTGGAAAAGCATGGAGGAGAACTCACTTGTCTGCACGTCTGTCTGGAACCGTGCTCCCTGTCTACCAGTCTGTCTGGAGCCGTGCTCCCTGTCCGCCGTCTGTCCGGAGCTGTGCTCGCTCTCCGTCGCCCTGTGTGAAACTGTGCTGGCTGTCTGCCAGCCTGTCTGGATCCGCACTCAGTCTCACCTGCAGGCCTGTCTGCCAGTCTGCCTGGATCCGCGCTCAGTCTCACCTGCAGGCCTGTCTGCCAGGCCTGCCTTGGATCCGCGCTCAGTCTCACCTGCAGGCCTGTCTGCCGGCCTGCCTGGATCCGCGCTCAGTCTCACCTGCAGGCCTGTCTGCCGGCCTGTCTGGATCCGCGCTCAGTCTCACCTGCAGGCCGTCGTACATGAAGCACAGCACGATGGTGCAGAGGGTGACGAGCAGCACCTGGCGTGGGGAGGCGGCCGCCCGCTCGCCGGGCGTCTCCGAGGCCGTGTGGTGCACCGTCAACCCACCGCGCTCATCGATCTCGTACGTCTCGGCCGACGTGGCCTTCTGCTTGCGCAGCAGCACGGTCACCACCAGGACGGCCACCGGCAGCTGCGGGTCCAGAGCGGGCGGAGGTCAGCCAGCGCCGGCGCCGCCGGCGGGACGTCGAGCAGCAGCGACAGAGCGACAGCCGGTCTGCCAGGTGGCGGCTTCGTTAGGAGCACCACCGCGCCTTGCGTTCTCACCAGCAGGGAGAACGCTCCGCTGCCAGCCGGCCGGTGCACATATCACAGCAGATGACGAGACCCATATTGTCGACCAGTGTGGCTTTCGTGAGAGAGTGGGCTCTCGCGGAGAACGATCTCCGCCACACGGTGAAACCGACCGATCTCCGGTGTGGCGGGACACCAGTGTGGCTTTCGTGAGAGAGTGGGCTCTCGCGGAGAACGATCTCCGCCACATGGTGAAACCGACCGATCTCCGGTGTGGCGGGACACCAGTGTGGCTTTCGTGAGAGAGTAAGCTCTCGCGGAGAACGATCTCCGTCACACGGTGAAACTGACCGATCCACGGTGTAGCGGGACACCAGTGTGGCTTTCGTGAGAGAATGGGCTCTCGCGGAGAACGATCTCCGTCACACGGTGAAACCGACCGATCTCCGGTGTGGCGGGACACCAGTGTGGCTTTCGTGAGAGAGTGGGCTCTCGCGGAGAACGATCTCCGCCACATGGTGAAACCGACCGATCTCCGGTGTGGCGGGACACCAGTGTGGCTTTCGTGAGAGAGTAAGCTCTCGCGGAGAACGATCTCCGTCACACGGTGAAACTGACCGATCCACGGTGTAGCGGGACACCAGTGTGGCTTTCGTGAGAGAATGGGCTCTCGCGGAGAACGATCTCCGTCACACGGTGAAACTGACCGATCTCCAGTGTGGCGGGACACCAGTGTGGCTTTCGTGAGAGAGTGGGCTCTCGCGGAGAACGATCTCCGTCACACGGTGAAACTGACCGATCTCCGGGGTGGCGGGACACCAGTGTGGCTTTCGTGAGAGAATGGGCTCTCGCGGAGAACGATCTCCGTCACACGGTGAAACCGACCGATCTCCGGTGTGGCGGGACACCAGTGTGGCTTTCGTGAGAGAATGGGCTCTCGCGGAGAACGATCTCCGTCACACGGTGAAACTGACCGATCCACGGTGTGGCGGGACACCAGTGTGGCTTTCGTGAGAGAGTAAGCTCTCGCGGAGAACGATCTTCGTCACACGGTGAAACTGACCGATCCACGGTGTAGCGGGACACCAGTGTGGCTTTCGTGAGAGAGTGGGCTCTCGCAGAGAACGGTCTCTGTCACATGGTGAAACTGACCGATCTACGGTGTGGCGGGACACCAGTGTGGCTTTCGTGAGAGAGTGAGCTCTCGCGGAGAACGATCTCCGTCACACGATGAAACTGACCGATCTCCGGTGTGGCGGGACACCAGTGTGGCTTTCGTGAGAGAGTGGGCTCTCGCGGAGAGCGATCTCCGCCACACGGTGAAACCGACCGATCCACGGTGTGGCGGGACTGTGGCATACCACATGCCTGTCTGTTTTGCGCCAACATAAAAACTTACAGTGAAATGTGGGCCCGTGTAGTAGACAGAGGCCGGTGGGTGAGATGTAGATAGAGGCCGGAGCCCACTCGGATTGCTACAGTTAACACATTGCTACTCACTCAAACTGCAGTTTTGACCTGACGATATAATGCTACGAACTTTGAACGAAAGCGAGCTGTAATATATACATTTTCGTAGATCTTCTGGCAACAACATTGCCAGCAACATAACGCAAATTTCAAAATGTAGACCGTATCAAAACCGTTATCAGGATATCCATGAAAAGGACCACTAAACGGTGATTTCGTCCGTTGTTGTTTCTGAACAGCCACTATCGCATCATTTAATACCTCATTCGTTCCGCCATTAAGTCTGCGGCATCATCTGGTCGGACGCAGCACAATGCGCCACTGTATGGGATCCCGCTTTTGCTGTGGGAGGCTACGAACTTGCGTGTACCATCTGACTTCCTTGACTTAGTGCAACTTCTACCTTTCTTTGGCATGCTACGTATTTATTCTAGACCTGTGCAGCCAGACTCTAACCTTCTACGTTGTTTGGGGGCCGCTGTGTTTGGCCATGTGTTTGAGGGCCGGACCAACGCGACCAAAATCCAAGCAATGCGTGCTATCCCGTCCCGGCCAGAACCACCCGTACGCGATCTTGTTGAATGCTTTAATCCCCAAGCTGAAACGGCAAAACATGGCCTGTTATGACGAATACTCCGTCGCATGATCTGCATGTACGATAGAGTTCCCTGGTGTCGACCTTCACGGCGATGGCCATCCCCTGACAAAGTCTGTGTCCCTCTTCATTGGGGATGCGGTTTGATATGATGTTCCCCATGCTTTCGTGACCACGTAACACCGCACGCCCCAATATTTATCGTTTTGATCCCACATCTCCACTATGATTGGGTGCATGCCCCTATTGGCAGTCAAGAATAAGCTAGAGCTTCAACATATTTCAGCAGCGTCATGATCCCCAAACTCTCTGATTCAGCACAGACATGATCGAGAGGATTTTCAGCTACAGCAGAGTCACGACATCAATCATTTTCACCCATAGTGGACCCATGGTCGCGAGCGTTCTCACCTGCAGCAGAACTTTGATCCCAAGCACTCACCTGCAGCAGAACCATGATCCCATGCATTCTCACCTGCAGCAGAGCCATGATCCAGAAACCGTACTGGATCTCAGACTTCTGCATGACCTTGAGCAGCGCGCTCTCATTGTCTGTGCTGTTGCCCCTGCTCTCCATGATGTCCTCGATGAGGTCGAAGCACCGGTGCGGGTCAGACAGCAGGAACGGCTCGATGATCATCGGCGAGGCGAATGCGCCCAGCGCGTAGAAGAAGTGCAGCGCCTGGGAGTGCACGGAGCCGAGGTCGGGCCACACGTCGAACGTCAGCCCCGGGCAAATTACGAGTTTGAGAGAGTGGGAGCCAATGGCAAGAGACATCCTGGTTGATTGCTGGGCACCGGCACAGGCTACCCCGGAAGGACATCGCAGGGTGTGCGGGGTAAGGCGATGCATGTGCAGCGACAGACCAGGACGTGTCACCGAGAGGCATCCATGGCGTACGAACACGTTCTGTGCGTATACATATCAACCTTTTACGCGCGGGAAAACCAGACGCTGCGCTTATAGCCGACCTTTCAGCGGTCGCCGCAGAAATGCTGATCACAGCTCGGTTACCATCTCTTCTGCTTCCCCCTCCCCCCCCCCCCCACTGTCGATCCCTATTCATCTGCTTTCTGCACAAGAGACGCAGTTTCCAGGCGGACTCGGGGAGGGATGCGGGGGGGGGGGGGGAGGGCGACCAGCTGGCAATTTTCCTCTCAGCCGCGCAATCCACTAAAGCAGCATAGAGGTCCACCAGAATGACGGCAATTATTGCTCTCTCCACAACTGCTCTCATTTCGAGACGTTGGAAAATCTAACAGCTCCATTAGCGTCGAGTGGTTCTCGGCTGCACACGACAGCGTACCGGAATAAATGATGTAGCATCGCGGTAATTCAATTCTTTCGCATTGTGGCGCCCGTTGGTTAGTGACTATATCAGGCAGGGGATGGGGGTAGGACAGGCAGGCAGGCAGGGGTGTGTGATGGGGATAGGGACAGGGTGGTTGCGGGGCGACAAGGCAAGATTGAAGCAAAAAAAAACAACAACAAAAACGGACCTTTTAGTGGAGGTGGGTTGGCAGCCATGAAACTTTAAGACGTTTTAAATGGAATGGGACACGCTGGAACTCGATGAAAATCATTGGAAGGCATTGGGATTCACCAGAAAATGCTCAAAAAGACTGGGCCATCGGCCGCTCATCGATGCCCACTAGGATTATCTTCGAGACAATGCACAGGGACGCAGGGAGACTCGATGGAGATCTCTGGGACCGCCACAACTCCCTACAAACGTTCCGGCCCACTGGTACTCAAATGAGAATCTGCTGCGTCGTCACCGACATTCTCAGCCCCTTCCGGTATGCACCACTCACGCGCCCCTGTTCTCGCGCCAACACAGTCCACAGATCGCGCGGATCTTCACGGGTCTCTGCGAAGCGCTCTGAGACCTGCCGCTGCCGCAAGCCCGTCCCGGGTCATCGGATCAGTTGCAGTCGGTCGGGCTGATCGGCCCACTTTGCGACTCAATCGATGCGCTCCGTGGCGGCGGAGCGGCCGGGCGCCTCGCGGAGAGGCGAGGCGAGGCGTCACGGCCAGCGTCCGCCATCGATCCCGCCGAGCGAGGCGAGGCGCGCTTGTCGGCCGACGCCGGCTGCAGATTAGCGTCGAGTTGGCCGCGTCGAGCCGGACGTAATCCCGCCGCGGCACCGAGCCGGCGCCGGCCGCCTCACCGTGGCAGCACGCCGCGGACTGGCAGCAGCCGCCCTGGGCACGGCTGTCAGGACTGGCTGGTCCGCTGCCACTCCACCCCACTCCACTCCACTCCACTCCACTCCTCTCCACTCCACTCCACTCCGGACGGGCCGGGCCGCCGTCCACGGCACCACGGCGTGTCGTTCTGAGACGGCCGCTGGTACCATCCGCACTGCGGTAGTCTGTCTCCAACCGCTCACAAACTTCCCGAGCGTTTTGTGCCTAGTAGGCGGATGTTGGAGCAAACAAGCATTCAGCAAATGATATTAAAGTGAGCAAATCACAATTATCGTAAACTTAGCTCAAGTAGGCTAAATTCCTCGTATGAAAATTATAAATGAAAATAATCACGGGGCAAGGCAAAGTGGGCTAAATCGTTTGAGTAACACGTATTTGAAAGAGATTAGGCTTCAGGACCTGGGGCTCAACGCCCCTCCCCTCCCCCGTGGTTGCCGCAAATTGACGCTCCTGAGTGTAACTAACGCGTTTACATTCCAATGGCGTTCAGGTGGACCGGACAAGCAAAACAATCAGAGTCAATGAACTGGTCTGACCTTGACCTGGTTTGACCTTGAAGTGAGCGGACATCAAACGCAATTCTTTACTAACAGTTTGGGATGGTTGTGGCGTGCAAGAACACACACGTTCATCTTGTCGCGACTGAAAAGCTACGTGAATATTCAAAGAGCCACAGGGCTTCTAAGCACGCTCCATAATTTTGAACAGCTTTCTACATTTAATGTCAGCCATGCCACGGACTTAACATTAAAGACGCATAGGTCGGACTGAGCAGGACCACCGACTGACTTTTGTGGGTTTTCCGACTCCATGACTGTGTCCTGAGAAGAGAACAGGGTTGTGGAGAACAGGGAAGGTCCTGTGCTCGGTTGCCGAAATACCCCAGATAGTACCAGGTTAGGCCGAACATTTTCTGACACTGTGTAAGCTGCGTTTGAAGTTTATTCCTCGAGACTGATACTTGACTAAATCTGCCTACCGACATCGAGGTATTACGTATGCGAGCCATGATTTCAATGTCGAACATCAGTAAGCCTGAACAAATCACAAGATCTCTCTTCCGGAAAATTATCTTGCTCCCAGGCGAATCAGGAGTGACCGCTGTTAGCCCGTCCTCCTTTACGATATTATTTGGCTCGGGCTCACCATAGCTGGTCGCGATTCGTGACATCAGCCATACACCTTTTGATAACAAACCACGCCGTTATTATTCTGCGTCGAAGATAGATGGCGATGATACCCAAGTTTCGACGTTCGTGCATGCCTGTCGGTTATCGCACGTCGAGAACCGTGTGGGGCCTCTGAACCATAGTTCAACACAATATCCTGTTTCACACCGCAGCACATGCAATGCGCAATAAATTCCATTCAGTGGTGCAACAAGACACGGGATGTAACGCGTTATGACATTTCAATCCTATCTCAATGGTCGGGAAACAGCGGCAAGGCTTCGAAGCTGTTGCCGATAATTGACGACAAAAACGGTTACACGCCGGCGCCAGCATTCCCTTCGGTGTCTCGCACGTGACCCTGACGTACCTGCAGGAACGGGGAGACATTGGCGCCGTATAGCTGGATCATGCAGAGGTTGGATATGGTATCGATGACGCCCATGAAGAGGCCCATGGCGGCCAGGTCGAGCGCCAGCACGGGCAAGCTCCAGCACTGGGGCACTAAGCTCAGCGTCACTGCCAGCATCAGCAGCGACACCAGCATGGCGCCGTGGGCCGACACCCTGCAACGTCCGCAGCTGTCAGTTGCCCGGCCTGCACGCGGGGAGCCGCGACGTTGCGGCAGCGGCAGCAGCGGCACGACCGCCCGCCGTACACACCGGCAAACGATACCTGCAACACCGACTGCCGTCAGCTGGCGCGCCCGAGAGCCCAATAGGCAACAAAAACAACCGGCGGTGATCAGCCGCCTCGGCCATGCCGGATATCACTTTGTCTTGGGCGAAGAAGGGGGAGAGTGTGACTCACTGCTCCCCATATGACATCTCACGCCCTGCCCCACGCGGAGAAACGGCTCCTGGGCAGCGTGCGACGATCACTACCCTATCACGCGCGGGGCGGCTCCGGCACGGGGCGACACGGAGGAGAAAGATACACAAACACATACAGATGCAGAGGAGGTGCAGTGCAGGACAAAGAGCGCGAGAGCGAGTGCGCTGATTTCGTTCCTCATCTCAAGCCTTTGGATGGCAGATAGCTTGGCAGCGAAAGCACTGGCCTCTCCCCACGGGGAAGTACAGTGTGCTCCGGGAGCACGTGCTCAGGAACACGTGCTCCGGACTGCGAAAGCACCACGAAGGGCGCCTCTGATCAGGGAGGGGCACAGTCCATCCCTCCCCCCCCCCCCGTCAACAAGGACGTCAGAGTTCTGGCCGAGTTCCACACATGAGACCGCATCAGCACACACACATCTCCATCTGTCGCGGTCTGCCGCCAACGAATTCGACCACTCGACGACCAGAGCACCACACACACGTCGCACAGACATATAATGTGCGAGCCCCAGAGACTCCGAGCCACCGCCAGCCCCCCGCCGAGTCGGCCCTCCCGTCGACTCGTCTGTGCCGCCGTCACGTCCTGCGAAGCTGCACGTCGGCCAGCATGCTGATGCTACGAGCGGCCGCCGTGGGCTCGCCACCGCGCTGGACCTCCCTGAGGCACTGTCAGGATCTGTCGCACTTCCAGCGTAGGTGACTTCCGATGTTGGAAGTCACTGCTGAGAGCTGAGAACCCACAGCTGGCCACGACTTGAAGCGGCTTGCATCACAGAGCCATTTACGTCGAGTGTCACTCGGAAGGTTCGAGTTGTTCCGAGAGATTTCATTTGCTCGCAGGTGGACTAAGTTGGGAAGAAAAGCTCCCGTAAGGACACCCACGTCATCCGGGTCACGGTGTTCAGCCGCAAGAGTCGCCGAGGTCGAGCAGATAAAGCTTTATGGCGCGCCAGAAGCGGCAACCAAGTAAGCAAGGCGGGCTTATATCCACATTAGTTTTGATTGTGTCTTTAATGACTATCGGTGATGCGATCCAGCGGCAAGCATCAGCCGTGTGATCGGTCACAACCCGAGTCGTTAAAATGGAGTGGTTGTGGGCACGGCGGGGCAGTGATCAGTACTGAGCTAAACTGGGTTCTTGTGGTGGTAACCAATCCGAATTATCTCGCCGACCGAAGTCTTCGCAGACAGCGACCACCTGTAGCCGGCCTCGTGAACGAAAATAGCACCTTTCACAGCTTTTGTCGCCTGAATGATATTGGTCGGGAGGTGGTTAAATGGTTTGCGATATATTGATCTTAAGTCATTGGTGAGTGGGACAAATTATGCAAACCAAGCGCTCTCCGTGACATTTCCAATTTACAAACACAATGAAGTTGCCGTCTTACTTTATGAGCCAGCCACTGGCCGGTGCTTCAGCTGAGTAGCAAGTGCTGTTCGCGTCCGTGAGGCCGGCTGGACCGCAGTGGGCCACCGCACAGGCCGCAACGGGCGCCGCGCCACGATGCACGACTCAGTAAACCCACGCCGCCACTGATCCATCGATTCTCGGGACCGAAACTCACCGACTACCCATGCGGCTGACGCCTGCCCGTCAGTCCCTGCGACTGACGCCCTGCTGAATAACCCTAGGTCTGACGCCTGCTGAATGGTACTTGGACCGCGGTTTACTGAATGTTCATGGGACTGACGTCAGCTGACTATTCCTGAGACTGACGCCTGCTGATTGTTCCTCGGACCGACGCGCACTGAATGCTCCTTGCGACTGACGCCTGCTAAATGACCCTAGGTCCGACGCCTGCTGAATGGTACTTGGACCGCGGCTTACTGAACGTTCATGGGACTGACGTCTGCTGATTGCTCCTAAGACTGACGCCTGCTGAATGTTCCTAGGACTGACGCCTGCTTATTGTTCCCAGGACTGACGCCCGCTGAATGCTCCCAGGACTGAGGCCTGCTGAGTGTTTACCCCGCTCTTAACTGATTCTGGTCAGTGCTGGTAAAAAGGACACCACACAGAACGCGATGGCACAACAACGCACACAGCATGCGGCAATGTGACCAGGATGCCGAGACGATCCCCAACCCGTTAAGGAAACACCGCGGTATAGAGCGACCATCCCTGCCCGCAGACCGCCGCCCGCTGTCGCCGAGGAGAACACGTGATACCGTCACCGGCGCCACTGCATTATGCCGATGGCCATCAGTAACGGATGTGGTGACGGGTGGCCAAGTCGCTCCACAGGATCGCAGGACAATTTGTCCGCTCCGCCGGCGCGTCAGCACACGTTCATCAACCGACCGGTGCACTGGAAAGACCCCGTCGCGGCGGATGGTCCGCGGGAGACGACGCGTCGAGAGGCCGGTACTGACTACAAGGGGACGTCACTGCCACCGGCACAGGGTGCTCCGAGGACTCACTGACGTTGGCACAGAGCGATTGGGAGGAGATCACTGCCGCGCCGGCGCGGTATGGGCGTGAGGAGACGTCACTGATGCTGACACAGAACGACCGCGAGAAGACGCCACTGATCCCAGCACGGTCGGTCCTGAGCAAGCGTCATTGGCATCAGAACAGGACGATTCAAAAGAGATGTCACTGACGCTGGCACATAATGGTCCCGAGGAATAGGACACCATGCTCAGACGGCCGGCTCTCCCTCCCTCTGTAACCGCTCTCTCAGCTGCCCCTCCCCACTGCCTCCCTCAGTTCCCTGCACCTCTCCCCGCCTCTCCCGCCCCAGAGCTCCTTGCGCGACTCCCAGTGACGCATCCCAGACGGCACCGCCAGCGGCGCTGGACGCCTGCCGCTCCCGGCCGGTGCCGGCCGGCTGGCGGCCAGATTGCCAAACGAGCGGCGGCGGGGCGGGGTCGGGGCCGGGCTGCTAGACTGGAGCAGCTCTGCGGCCACCCGACGCCGAATCTGCGGATCAATAGCGGCCGGCCGGCGCCCGGGCCCGACCCCGCGCCCCGCCGGCCGTCGGGCAGACCGACACAGAGATCAGACACGGGCCGACGGGCGCGGACGAGATGATCATCTGCTCGGCGCTCCGTAACACGGGGGCGGAACGGTAGCGGCGGCCTCACACGCGGCACATTGCATTGCGCTGGGTTATGTCAGCCATAAAGGATGATGAGTCAGTTCAGTCTGTTTACGATGATGCTTCGATGGTGCAATGGTAGCCGTGTCCCGGGAAGTGACCGGCGTGGGGTGCGAGTCGCGTCGAGTGCATCACAAACATACGTAGTGCGCCACTCAATACAACGGCTGTGATAAATAAAGGCGACAACAAACACAAGGCCGCAGAAACAACCCATACGTTCTGTCCCGATGGCTTCAGATGCGCACGTCACCTCTTTGCCCGTGACAAACATTGACAACACTATATACTTTATTGCCTCAAACGGTTCTAAACATATTATTTTTTGGTTCAACGCATGCTTTATTTCAAAACGTTACTTTCTAGCTAGCTAAATTTGCGTGTTCCTATAATCCATACGGGCAGCTTTCTTTTATCGGTCGGCTTCTCTTTGCGTTGTAATATAGCCGCGGTGCTTTGGCTTGAACACTGGCTTTGTGAGGTTAGCTAGAAGGCCGCATAACGGAATCCCAGCAGCTATAATGTTTGTGAGTGTTATCGGCCGCCATAACGCCTGTTACAGTTATGACAGTGCCTTAGGTTACAGCGTTTTGATGCTATCATCGTAAACAGGAACACGAGAAAAACAGAAAATTACGCAAGATCTGCCAGACTCCACTGCATGACGCTTCCGTCTTTGCATTTTTCGGTTGGGCACTGAAACTGTCAAACGCTGTCTGGTGTGACTTGGTCGTAGAAATTTGCCTTTGTTACTAAGTGTATATCTGAGCTGTTCTTTTGGAGTCATAGCTTTCTCCTCGTTCTCGAAAGGTTCGAAAACTTGTTTCGTGCCTGTCATTAAAATGACACATGTCAAGCTGCCCATCCTGTTTGCGACAATTATCAACTTCTGAGTAACCCTAAGTCGATTATCGACACATCCACATCCCTCCACAGCTGTCAGTGACCTCTTGTTAGACACATTCTCATTAAAACCACATCTCTTGACGACAGGCTGGCCCGGGTATGTGCACACGCTGAGCGTGCTCGCTAAGTACCCAGCAGTGCGGCGAATTCCCCCGGCCATCAGCTCCCGCGTACCAAACCCAATCGGCACGCATGCCGCTCGCACGCGCGGTACGCATGCCTTGTGGTCCCGGCAATACGCAGTGACCGACGCACGCCGCGCCTCACCGGGTGAGGGGACTCACCGACGCTCCGGTGTCCGGACACGCGTGCAGTGAGCAGTGACCGACGCACGTCGCGCCTCACCGGGTGAGGGGACGCACCGACGCTCCGGTGTCCGGACACGCGTGCAGTGAGCAGTGACCGACGCACGCATGCGCGCGAGTAACGACGTCGGACGGAACCCCTTCACACTCCAAACGCCACCACTCACAAAAATGGAAGGTTAACCCAGTGATGCATAAATCCTTTTATTGGGTAATAATGCATGCAACCGTAATGATGCATCTACCACCCCAGCAGCTGCTACGGCGGATTTCTCAGGTGCGTTGGGTAGCTCAGTTAACACGCTCCGATGCCTATTGTGAACCGGACCAGCAATGCATTTTGCAATTTATCGTTTGACGATGTGCGCAGTGCTGACGGACTAACGAACGCGGAAATTTTTGAAGTCGCAGTTCGGGGGCGTTTTTACTTTCGTTTCTTTCATTTCCAAGAATTTATGACGACAATGATATCATACAATCGACATATCCATGCACAAACCGCTGCAGATATCATATTGGGCGCCCACCGAATGCCCGTGGCATACTCGACGCTCCGAACAACCAACCCCCACCGGATACCAAGCATGCAACCTTCGTCCGCCGGAACCGACGCCGACCCTGCCGCCCGAGACGGTTAGTGCGCGGCGCCGGGCCGTGTCCCGGGTCCGTCCTCATGCGCCCGACACGCGGCTGCGTCACTCCACTCACCTCCAGTCGCGCTCGGCGCTCGCGCAGCCCGGCAAACACGACAGACAGGGCAACATCGACCGGCCGTCCATAATTCTTAAACAAACGGGAGACGCGCCATCAGCTCGTGCGGGAGAGGCGGCCGGTGCGGCCCGGCTCGCTGCCCGATGGAGAACCGGGGCAGGCTTCTACGGGGGAAGACGAGGCGCGGCAGCGACCCAGCCGGCTCGAGCGGTGTCACGGGCTCCTCGGGTGTGGGAGCCACGGCCTGAGGATCCGCTACTGGCTTCCAAGCCACGTCACTGTGCGTTCTCAAGAGGCGCACAGAGATGAGTCAAACGACGGCGTGCTGTTCGGTATCACTCACCTTGGGTGCCGACGTTGCAGCTCTATTAAATCTCGCGCCAGAAGCAGGCAACGAAGCATTACAACGCGAGGAGCAAACTTGTGCAGTCGCTCCAGCCCACCAAATGACCAAGCGTAGTGAATTTATTGCGCGAGTCAATAGGGTTAGATGGCATGACTGCTCAAAACAGACCGCAAAACATCCACTCCAAGTAAACATGACGTAAATAAATACGATTTCGTAACTGAAAATGGGATATTTGCGCACGAGTTTGATAGCCTTAGCCTGAAGCCGCCACAGATTATTGCCGCAGCGCGCCGGCCGTTCCTGCAGCGCCCGACAGTGGTGGGGAGGGGGGGGGGGGGGAGCTGACGGAGAGCACGACGCCCGACCTGTCGCTCGTGACAGCCGCACAGATGGCGCGGCCCTCAGGCCACGACGCGGCGGAAAACACAAAGCAAGACACCAGACCATGTCGCGTCGTCCGCACCTCGCCGGACGCCAAAACCTCCTGCATCTGGCACAGGTTTGTGAAGTCCAGACAGCCAAAGTCCAACAGCGGCAGCGACTGGGGCAGTATTCATCCTTCGGATCCGGCACTCGGCACCCGATGCCAGACACCCAATACCCGGGTCCCGAGCCTCGGCCACCCGGGCCCAACCCACCCGGGCCTGACCCACCCAGGCCTGACCCAGCCGGGCCTGACCCACCCGGGCCTGACCCACCCGGGCCTGACCCACCCGGACATAACCCACCCGAGCCTGACCCACCCGGGCCTGACTCAACCGGGCCTGACCACCCGGGCCTGACCCACCCAGGCCTGACCCAACCGGGCCTGACCCACCCGGGCCTGACCCGCCCGGGCCTGAACCACCCAAGCCTGACCCACCCGAGCCTGACCCACACGGGCCTGACCTACCCAAGCCTGACCCAACCGAGCCTGACCCACCCAGGCCTGACCCACCCGGGCCCGGCCGATGTTGCCACTCGTCAGGCCAGCTGGCCGCGGCACCGGCGGACAGATGCGTGCGCCTGTGCGTGGTCCGCCTGCGGGCCGGCGCGGCCTCACGCACTGACACGTCCCAGCCGGCTCGCACACGGAGCCAGCTGGTCGTCCGCCCGTGCCGCAAGACAGCTGATGACGCGGCAGGGGCGGCGCAGGCCGGCGGCCGCCTAACCGGAGGGTCGTTCTGAGTGATGACTGCGCGCGGCAGAGGCGTGAGCGTTCACCATTCCAATGAGCTCAAACCAGCGGGCTCAAGGTAGCCACCGATACGCCCTCAGGAACATGTGGTGGCATGACAGATAATGCCAGTTTTTTTGGCGGGGAGATCGAAAGAAGCGATGGCAGATGAGCGTATGTCGCCATGTCGACGACGCCAAAACATAACGCCACTGATAAGGTTCCTTCTACCAACGCTTCGGTTCTACTGCGGTTCGGAACTTTTGGGGCAGCTTCGAAGATGGTGCAAGATTGGAGCGTTTGCTAAAGGCCATAGACCTATGTCCGGAATTTTAATTTTGGTCGATAAACATATTTCTCGCCGCTTTTGAGAGCCCACGTTCTAAGATGACATTCCCATTAGAGGCATCCCACGTAGATGGGTGAATATAAGTTGAGAGTTATACGCTTGTAAAAAGAGTTTCGCGACTGCCGTGATGCAAAGGAGGTGTACTTATTTAGAGCCCATAGGTAACAAACCCTCTATCGATTATTTGTATACATTACGATGCGCGTTGGCTTAGGCACGTCAGTATGGAATACTCATCCCATCAATTCCCCACATGTTTCGTGCTGTTAGGTGCCGTCACCCCTCCACCTAATTGCCAGGCTCCTCCTGATCCAAAACAGTTCTCCCATAGTTTCCAGCGTGTGCCGAACAATTGTCACGACCCTTCCCAGCGCAGGTGCCGATGACGAACTGACATTTTCACGCTTTATAAGCCTTGAGACGTTGGCTAACTGGGGGACGCAAGCGTCAAAGAAACCCTGTTGACGCTTTGCCCAGGACCCTTATGGCCTATTCCACACAATATAATACAAACTGCACTAATTTTCCTGAGAGCTCGTGGGTTCGATTGCAAGTCGTTGCAGCTATTTTACGCATACGATGTACCTCGACATTGAGATCGCCCAGCCGTCGTAACTGGCAACCGCGTCATTGCTGTCAAGCGCACCTTACGCCTTAACGTAACGCCACTGCACGGAGCCGACGTTTCGCATCGCTCCGCAGTTGAAAGACGCCACAAGCCACAGGCCAAGTATCAGAGCGACCCAATCACCACAGATCTCCTAGCGGAGTTTACCAAGGCCTGACAGGCGCTTCCAAAGTACATTATTTACAAATCGATGCAAAAATTTGAATTAAAAAATTGTGCGACACTTACACTGCTCAAGTTTCCTTTCCAAATTTTCATGTTTAAATGTTCGATGTTTGCTTTGGTCGACTGGTGGTAGCCATTCTCTGGCAATACAGCACAGGGTACTGAAGCATTGAGCACTGAAGCTCCGTGGCACATACCACGACGGGCCTTAGCTGGGGGATATGGCAACGTCCGAAAAGCGACCGAACCAATCCCTTCATCAGGGTTCATTCTCTTGCGATAACACCGTTACCCCACTGCCCACCAAATCCCGACGTTGCCACCCAGCGTCGTGACGGGAGATAAGAAGGACGGCAGCTCGGATGAGGTCGCCATTTGTCGGACGGGAGAAGGGTTCGTTACGTAAGGGCGTGAGTAAATATAGCCGCCATCACTCTTCAACACGTCGGCAGAGCTGAGGCGAACCGAGCAGGAGTTAATAGTCCCGTTTTAGGCGGAGCTCCATGCTGAACTTTAATGGGAAGTTTTAAGCAGGTGCGGATTCAATGGAGGTACGGAGGTCATGACCCGCGTGGTAAAAAAAATCATTTGGCTTGGTATTCGGCGAATTTGAGAGGCGTTTGGAACTTAGCCCCCCCCCCCCCCCCCGAGATTTGACTAAACATCTACCCTTGGCCTTACATTGAATGCTAGCTGACTGAGTGATTGAGTACCTGTTTTGCAGCTCGTTGGGTTGATCGTTTACACGAGCCTTTAACCAGCAGCTTATGATGGTCATTTGACCAGCAGCTGCACAGCCGATGCCAACCGATCCCAGGGAAATCTGCGCGATATTTCATATGGTCGATATCCAGAGCCGGCAGCACCTCGTCCCACCCAGTCGCCATAGATGTGGCTATCGTGCTGACAAAAGATCACAGAGGTACACGGCGGTAGTCGAGTCGCGCCATCCGTCACGACTCCACTGACGTCATCCATTCTTACCGTCCACGGTCAGATGCAGCTACTGCTGACCCGCCTGTCCAGTTCCACCGCGGCCGATGGATGGCGACTACTTCGGCCATCTTCATCCCCCCTCAGCTGGCTACTGCAGCCTTTCCGTGCCCCTTGTCCGCCGGCTGCTGTGTCGAGCGGCCGGCCGCTGTGTGTGGCCGGCAGTGCGCTATCAGTCGGCGTCAGAGGCCGCCCAGCCGTACACTGCGCCCTGCCGTACACTGTTCGTCGTTGACCGGCGCTGACTCACCTCTGCACCAGCACGCCTCCGACGATGGGACCGGCGCTGACTCACCTCTGCACCAGCACGCCTCCGATGATGGAGCCGACGCTGACTCACCTCTGCAGCAGCACGCCCCCGATGATGGGACCGGCGCTGACTCACCTCTGCACCAGCACGCCTCCGATGATGGAGCCAATCAGCGTAAACAGAGCCTGCGCGAAGAACACCCAGCTCATGGTGCGGAGCGGCGTCTCGGTCCGGCAGCCTGCGGGCACGGCGACGGTCAGGCGACAGGTCAGGCGACAGGTCAGGTGACAGGTCAGGTGACAGGTCGGACGGGACGTCAGGAGACAGATCAGGAGACAGATTAGAAGCAAGGTCAGAAGACAGGTCAAAAGGCAGCTCAAAAGACAGGTCAGAGGACAGGCCGGACGAAACTTTCAAAGGCGGGTCAGAAGAAGGTAAGGAGACAGGTCAGGAGACAGGTCAGGCGACAAGTAAGGTGACAAAGCAGACGGTAGCAGCACTACTCACAGATCCACCCGCTGGTATCAGCTGTGTACACAGGCAACAGAATATCACGTTTTGCGCCCACAAACACACATCTATTTGTATTGCTTTAATTTCCCGCATATTTGACAACGCGGTGCCGGAACTGACTTCAAAGGAATTTAGACTGACTCTCAGATCAGTCAGGTCAGAAGACCTGTCCAGTACATCCATCAGCATACTGGCCAAATATAACGCCGGGACTTGTGCTGTATTCCGTTTTGAGGAAATTGGTTCAGACTCCGATGTGCAATGTACTGGCCATTTCGGATCTTAGCTTCAATCAGCGCAACAAAGCGTTGAAAAAAAATTCACTCCGAACCAAGGAAAGATGAGTTAACTTCGGCGTCGATTTCGTTGGCATGACAACAGTCCATGACACAATTCGTTGCACAAACGCTGAAAAGCGCACATTGACCATTCGTTTCCACAATACGCCAGCTCACACCGAGTGCTCGATTCGCTGCACATGTACCGCTGTCAGAATACGTAAGTGAGTTGCCATTTACTTTCAGGTTGACTTGTCGATGACTCCAGCTGATTCAGAAGACTGAACTTCGAGGCCAACTTACCGATATTCCAAGGAATCGAAAACGTCCCATCGACAAAAATGGGCCTAAATTCGTTGTCGTCTCTGCCACCATATGAAACCAAGCTGAAGTCTAGGTGTAGGAGCGAATGCTCTCAGTTGCAGAAGCTACCGCCATCAGGAGCCGGAGCAGGAGCAGGAGCAGGAGCAGGAGCAAGAGCGTTCCGCCCCGGGACAGAAGTCTCACCGAGGTCGTCCAGCGTCGGACCCAGGAACGCCACGCACATGCCGAACGACCAGAAGACGAAGCAGTACGTGATGGTGACGTGCCAGTTCTGCAGGAACATGGACCAGAACTGCACCCGCTTCTCAGCTGAAACACGAGGAAACGGCATTTCAGGCAATACACTGGCACAGTCTGTGGTGTTAACTTTAACCATGAAGTTAATCTCGATAGCTCAGTCGGCTACAGCGACGATGTTCAGACTCGCTGAACCATCGCGAGGGGGTCTCGGATCATTTAATGCGCTCGCTTTTTGCTCCTAATTGGAATAACCTTCGGCCGGTGGCAGCTGCGGGGTTAAAGGTCAGGTGATGTCAGAGAGCAGGACGAGCCTTGCCAAACATTGAGGTACGTCATGCTTTCGCCTAAAAAAACTGTTATTGACAGGGGATTTCACGAGGGGATGTAGGAGTTTGTATTCACGCAGCAAGTAATGCTGAGCGTGGTCGCTGTTTTAAGAAATCCATCCGGTCAAAAAGTTTGGATTATTTCATAACTTTACTACTTCTATCGATATCATCTATTACATCGGACAAGACATGCAAAGAAAGTGTAGACACCGAACAAAGTGACTAGACATAAGTACTCCGCAAGAAAATTTCCGCAAGAATAGATATCGCCGCATTTGTAAACCAACGTCATCTGCTTAGTTTCGCGATCATTGTGATCATTGTGATGTGAACATTGTGATCATTTCTCGAGAGATAAGCGTGCACAATGCTGGAATCAGTACAGCCTCAGCACGTTAAACTGGGTGTTATGAACTTGAAAACCGAAATATTCAGACCAGTTGTATGCGTTATATAACTAATTTTAATGGCAATCGATACAACAAATGTTCTGCATTTAGCAGGACATTTCTCCGTGCCCTTGCGCTCTTTCCACCTCAGTATGGACACCATGGCTGTATGTACATACACTTTTTTAAGCTGCTAGTTTCCGCCCAACATCCCGACTTGTCGCCAACACATGACTCGCACACTTGCCAGATTTCTCTCCCTTCCTTCTCATCTCCTCGCCTCCTCATCCGGACCATTAAGGAGAGCTTGGCCATAGCCCCTGCTATGCTGCTAGCAAGGGAGTTGCTGAGCAACAGCAACTCCCCTGCTGACTGAGCAGGAGCTGAGAGCTGAGTTGAGTTGAGAGCTGGAGTTAGGCGGCTGGGCAGCAGCAGGTCACTCGTATGGGACCGCCGCCACGTCTCGACCGTAGCCACTCCCTAATTCGAGCCCAGCCCCGCCGCCCCACTAGTATTTCATCCCATCAAGCAATGAGGCCACGTCCCGGCCCCGGGCGCCGCCGGGATTACTCGCCCCCCCTCCCTTCCCCCACCGCCGACCACGGGGCTGGCCGATTCCTGGGCTCCGCTGGTGGGCGCCCTGCGGCCGCGAGGTCCGCCACTTGCCGCCACCCGTAGTGGTGGAGCGTGGAGAGTACATTGTCTGTGGCATGCTACAGTGGTGTAAGTGAAGGGAAGAGGCAGAGCAAGAGGCAAGAGCAAGAGCAAGAGCATCGAGCAAGAGCAGAGCAAGAGCAAGAGCAAGAGCAAGAGGCAAGGACAGAGCAAGAGCAAGAGCGAGAGCGAGAGCGAGAGCGAGAGCAAGAGAGAGAGAGAGAGAGGGAACAGAGGATAGAGAGAGAGAGAGAGAGGAAGAGAGAGAGAGGAGATAGATGAGAGAGAGAGAGAGATGAGAGAGAGAGATGAGTAGAGGAGAAGACGAGAGAGAGAGAGAGAGAGAGAGAGGAGAGAGAGGAGAGAGAGAGATAGAGGAGATAGACGAAGAGGAGAGATGAGAGAGAGAGAGAGAGAGAGGAGAGATAGAGGAGAGAGTCAGAACTCCGCCCACAGTCTCGCTATCAGTGTAGAAAGAGAGTTAATTTCCTTGAAAGGGATTTGGGCATGTCTTATGATTGATGAGGTGCCTTTAAAAATGGTCACATCCCCATCCCAAATCCCCGTTGACCACACGGGGATTTTGAAAGTCAGTATCTCAGAATGATTGCACTTCATGTAAATGTCACGAACCGTCGTGTGGTCACACTTGCTAATGGGTTTCAGTTATTGGTTGTCACCAGTGCATTTGACGTGTTTGTATACATAACGTAGCCCTCTTTCGACTATATCTGCAGTGTTCATCGGCTTCTTTAAGAGAGGACGACGCCTTTAGCCGTGGAATCATAGTTGGATTGTTGACTGAGCTGCCGGTTCAGTTGTTGGCGAATTTCCTGGTCACCCTCGTTACCTCGATTGCTTTCATTTATCTTGTGAATCGGAGTCGGAGTTGTCGGAGTTGAACCTATGTAGCCCCAAAACGCATCGACTCCAAGACCGTTATTACCGATAATAACTTCACTTCTACTGGACCACTGTTGTCGACTCCATCAGAATCCATTCCAGAATTGATCCAGATTCTTTTGAGCTAGAATTGGAGTTGACTCAGAGACATGCAGTGCGGCATGCAGTCAGTGGTGGAATAAAACCGCGCGCTGCGAGTTTGAGTGAAGTGTAATGTGAAGTACCGGTGAAGTGGTATCCAACCCGGGTCGGACGAGACCAGATCAAAAGTAGCCTGAGTGACATGAGTCCAGACAACAAATTCTGTTCGAAGCGGACATCCGAACACAGGCGGACATCTCAGGAGTTGCAACGGGCATTCCCACGGCTGCTCATCGGATTCCCAGCTGGGGCAGTGAGCCAGCAGGGGCATTCCTGGCCTGGCGTTGGGCGCACCGGGCGCCGAGTCCTGCAGCGTCCCTCGCGTTCGCACGACGCCGGGCTCGTCGGAGACCGAGTCCTGCAGCGTCCCTCGCGGTCGTGCGACGCCAGGCTCGTCGGGGACCGAGTCCTGCAGCGTCCCTCGCGGTTGTGCGACGCCAGGCTCGTCGGGGACCGAGTCCTGCAGCGTCCCTCGCGGTCGTGCGACGCCGGGCTGGTCGGGGACCGAGTCCTGCAGCGTCCCTCGTGGTCGTGCGACGCCGGGCTCGTCGGGGACCGAGTCCTGCAGCGTCCCTCGCGGTCGGCCAGCGTCGTTGACGGGTCGATCGGCGCTCTGCTCGCCGCGGGCCGACACATTGGCGCACCACGGCACCTCATATGGGCGACGGGGCGCCGCTCCTCCAGCCGTGCAGCAGAGCAATATCGCGCCACTCCTCGCCTCAGATCAACTCGGCCCGGACCCAGCCGCCCGAGCTACCGAGCTTCGCAGCGAGCATATGTCCTGCGAAGTGGCCGTCTGAAGTCGAGGCATCGTCGCCCATACAGACTGTATGCAGCCTGCCGCTGGGTGGAGGAGAGAAGGACTTCCAAAGGTTGAGTGCAAACCGTTAAGGATGATGCGTAGTCATCACGGTTCAGCCAGCGAGAACGGTGGCTGATGCGGTTTCACGGAACGGTAGATGAATAATTCTGGACCGCGTCTGTTGTTACGTTTCTCTGAGTCTCTTTCTAAGACTGTGGTGAAGTCATGGGCAACAATGGAAAGGTGCCAAATAAACATAATGCCCATTGCTGGGATTCTGAGTTCGAACGTCATGGGGGAAATGAAGCTGAATCCACTCATCTCGGGCATAAGCGTCCGATCCCCTCAGCCGTTGACGACGGCTCTTCTTCGACCAATTGAGCAGCTCCTTACGCTAACTTTTCCGTAGTACTTCATGCTAATGGGTGTCAGCCAATACACGAAGTCCTGGTCCTGGTTTCGCCAACCAACCAGCCAAACCAGCAGCCAAACCAGCAGCCAAACCAGCAGCCAACCAGCCAAACAGTTCGGCAACCAGCCAAACCAAGGTCTGTTTTCGTCAGTGTAGCACCTTGACTAGCTCTAAGCTCTAACCAGTGTCATCTGAGTTGTAGTGGTTACAGAAACTGGGCCCATGTAGGCTCTGAACAAACAGGGTCTAATCAGGACAGCCATGACTCAGGCCCCGACACCGTCGGGTCGACTAGATCACTCCAGACTCAGATCCTGCCGTACCTGGATCCCAGATCCAGTGGTACCCGGATCCTAGATCCCACATCCGGCAGTAACCTGGTCCCAGATCACATACCCAGCGGTATTCGGATAGGCCTAGGCCCAACAGACCCAAACAGACTCAAACAAAACGTGATCGGAGTGACGCAGGTTCGCACGACCGAGACAGCCCGGGGCAGACCCGGATCCACCAGGCTGGCCACCAGACCCAGACAGCCCGGGGCAGACCCGGACCCACCAGGCTGGCCACCAGACCCAGACAGCCCGAGGTCCACCCGTGACCCGCCAGACTGGCCACCAGACACAGACAGCTCGAGGCCCACCCGGGACCCATCAGACTGACCCCAGGCCCATACCACCCCGTGTCCACCACCGATGGGCAGCCCGGGCGCCGGCCCGCTCGGGCCCGACTCGCTTACGGGGCACGATGAAGAGGCTCTCCTCCTGCGGCCGGCAGGTGTACGGCAGCTGGGCGTAGTCGAGCGGAGGCCGGGCGGGCGGCGCGGCCGGCGCCGGTGGTCCGGCCGGCGCCGGCAACGCGGCGTCAAACGACGACGCCATCGCCCCGTCGACAGACGACACCCGCGGCGGCAACGACAGACGACAGGCCAGCACCTGAGCACTGAGGCCAGCAGCGAAGCCCGGCAGCCGTGGCGACGAAGAGCACGAGTGTTGCCCTCAGTTCGGCGAACGCCACGCGGAGAGACGCCGTCCGGCGCAGACTCCGCACTCACCGACCGTCAGCGACCGGGCGGCCCAAGATACTGTCCGTGGTGTCGTCTGCGGTGCTGCCCGTGGTGTAGTGCCTGCGGTGCTGCCTGTGGTGCTGCCTGCGGTGCTGCCTGTGGTGCTGCGTGTGGTACTGCCTGCGGTGCTGTCTGCGTTCCGTTTGCAGTGCTGTCTGCTGTGCTCTAAGCAGTCTGCGTACTGATTTCTGTTGTACGTGTGCCGCCGGCTGTGTTTGTGATGTGCCCCTGGTTGTGACTGTGATGTGCCACTGGCTGTGACTGTGATGTGCCCCTGGTTGTGACTGTGATGTGCCGCTCGTCACGCCGCCGCCGCGTCACCACCGCCGCTCGTCACGCCGCCGCCGCGTCACCACCACCGCTCGTCACGCCG